CAGGCGCGCCCCCTCTCAGAGGACGAGTGGGAGCAGAGGCGCTGAAGCAGCTCAGCGAGATGTCGAAGTCGGCGACCAGGAGGTCGGAGCCGACGAACTGCAGCTTGACTGAGTGCTCGTACTCACAGCTGCACCCTTTGAGAACGTCATCAGCGACACGGCAAAAGGCCCGGTGTGCCGCTGCCGAACTCTTCGATGCCGACTTGCTCGGAGATGTCGTCCTCATCTTGGAGGTTGGTGGTACTCGCACGCTAGGTACTCCACCAGCCGAAGAGCACGACCCGCGATTGATCCGCACCCCCTCGTTCTGCGTGTCAGGCCTGACCCCTCGCCTGGCTGGGGAGGTACTCAGCACCACCTCGTGCTTTGTGTGAGGCCTAACCCCTCGCCTGGCTTGGGAAATTACAGGAGAGGCCCCCCGACGATACCTCTGGCTGTGTTCAGGATGCTCACGTGTACCTCGCCCAGGTCGATACCCAGCCTTCCCCTGCATTTCGTCGCTTGCGCCGAAGAGAGAGGACCTGTTACACGCATCATCGGGGTGCCGAGTTAGTCCCATTCGTACCATCCCGTCATGCACTCTGGGCCCGTCAGGGGCCTCCTCCTGCAGTACTTCTTCTCTTGCAGCACTCTTCTGCACACTCTGCTGGTCACTTTGCTTGCCTTTTAACCTTCGTCTCCGCACTGGTGCCGTGGCCGTCCTCGCTGCGCCTGCCAATAGTAGAGGTCCGAACCATTTGCTGCTTAGCACCCTTGACTGAGCTCGCACGGCTGCCTGATCGTCATCTGGATGTGGACGCCTGGGAGTTGGAGGTCGTAGTCGATCAGGAGCTCCATCGCCGAGTATATGCCTGGCCATTGCACGCACGACTGATAGCAGCTCACGTCGGCGTTGATACTCGAATCGCTGCTTCTCGACCGATTGAGCGTCCATGAGGCTCTGGATGAACATGCCCCTCCGCCTTTGCGACTGTCTCCACGCGCTTCGACATGATTCTGCAATGATATGTTCCAACTCTTGTCCAGGAAACCAGCCTCGCAGTAACCAACCTAGCGGCTCGTTGTTGCCTCGGTTGAGCATCGGAACCAGGAATGCTTCACACCATTCCTGCCAGTTGGCTCCATCTGCCGCTCGGCACGTGAGATCCTCGAACCAGATAGCCGCCCACTCACGTAGACCATATCGCATGTCTGCATGTCTGCATAAGCGTGAGCTGCTTGAGCTCGCTCTGGTGCTGCTGGTGGTACTCCCCGTGTCACGAGGTGCACCGTCGGTGGCGTTGTCGTCGACTATTCCACTGTTACCGAGCATCGCGGTGGCCTCTTCTCTCGCCAGCTTCACCGCCTGCTCCTTCTCGCGCATCCGCTCGTAGAGGCTGGCCATGCGCTTCTCGAAGTCGTAGGGCCCATCAGGAGCTGGCCGAGCAACCTTGGTAACCCCTCGTTCAGGAGCACGAAATGGACGACTTGCATCGTTCTGCTATGCCAGCTTCTTGCGGGGGCCGATGCCTTTGCGCAAGTTCGCGAGAACCTCCGTGCCCTTGACGGTGGGCCACGTGCACTGCTCGCGCAGCTTGTGCTTGCGCCTTTGCTGGGCCCAGGCTCCGCAATTCACGCATGCGAACGCCGTCGCCTTGCACGTCATGTCACTGAGATCGCCCTTCTGGTTGACAGCCATGAGCTGGTGCCCCAGTGGATCGTTCATGTGGCGCTTGAGAAAGGTAGGCGTACCCATGCACCCATTGAGCTGATCATTTCCCGGCTGACTCAAACGTAAGCACCGCGAACGCTGCCTTCCCAGATCCACGTTCTGCCAGTCGTTCCAGTTGTCCACTCTGACGCTCTTGACTCGCTTGGCGCCCGTCGAGTTCTTCTGCCACCTTTCTGCTTCCATATCTTACAATGGGAGCACATGCGCACTCACTTTGGAGAGCCTTTGACAGAATTTCTCGTGGTGATCCAATTTCGCTTGACATTCTCCCTTAATAGCTGGGTGCCGTCGTGCCCCCTGCCCAGTATCATGGTCTGCCCCTGCGTTGCCATCGGTCGGTGAACCTCTTGGTATCCGCGCCTAGGTCACTGTATTCCTCCCCTGATCTGTGAGCCCCGATGCGCTTCACGTCTTTGATGCGGCTGATCCTTGGAAGGCTGTGCGCGACACCGAAGACGCTTCCGTGCCTTGTGCGTGGCCCGCACCCGCTCTTGGCCCGCCTGCTTGAACAGGTTGATCGCGCCCTTGAAGTCGGCGTGAAGCATGGCTGGTCGGTCCGCTGCCTGGCAAGAATACGCGAAAGAGAGGTACTTCGCCATCGCCGATGTCTGCGGTGAGCTGGCAGGTACTACTGCGTGCTTGATGCTTGGGGGTCGGTCACCTTCTGGATTCAAGAGAACTGTCGCTCCTCCTGCCCTTCGTAGCTCCAGCAGCGCAAGTTTGGTCGTATCCAACTTCGCTCAGCCTGACTTGATGTTGGCGATCACAGCGAGCGCGTCATCGTACCACTTCCAGCCGTCAGCAAGTGCCTGCTTCCTTCAGGATCCTTTCCTTCAATTCGTTCAGCTGCCTTGCTTGCAGAACGCGCCCATGCCGACGATGGTAGACGCCGAGCTGCTTTTGCCGAGCCACGCTGCTAGCCATGCGCGTCCTCAAACATCGGCCCAATGGTTTGTTGAGGCTCGATCTTGTCGCCGCCAACGTAGACCAAGTAGACCAGTTCCTTGCCCACCGAAAACCATACAACAGCCACAGGCCTATGAGGTTTGACCGTCCGCTTTAAGTCAGCTTTGACCGTTTGTACAAGCCGCGCGGCACCCGCTGCGAGCTCAAAGTAGTCGATGATCGCGTTGGCTGACGCCGTCCTGCATGTAATCGCCTTCGGTACGAGTGGGGAAACCTGCGCGTGCGCCGAGAACGGCGATGCCTCTGCCTCAGCCGCTGGCGTATGCCAGTATCCTCCTGTCAGGGAAGGGTGCTGCTGTCCTGCACTCGCCAGCCCTACCTTCACGTGGATCTTCGCGTTCTTGATCGGCATCCCCTCGCCTGTGTGCAGGTCCAGGTTGGAGATGTTGATCGGGGGCCAGCCTGGGACTTCAGCAACTGCATGTTGTGCCCGATGCGGCACCAGCTCGCTCCCAAACGAGAAATTACTGTGTATTGTGGATTGTCGGGCCATAGGATTGCCTTCGGGATATGCCGGATCATATAAGCCAACTCCTTCACAAGCGAATATAGCCAGCCCTGCTGATGGTAGCTTCCCTTCCGTTGGCGCCCCTGGAACAATCATCGCGCTCCACCTGTGAGTGCTGGCCCACGTGCTCAGAGCTTCGCACTCCCAGTCGTGATGCCCGATTTCGCGTGCCAGAACGATCAGCGACTTCGTCTGGAGGAGCCGCTTCTTTAGAGTCAGATTTCCCTGGTTCGCGTTGTGCGTCTCGATGAAGTGCGATCCTGAGGCCCTTGGTGGCATTGGCATTGTTGTAGAGCACCCCCGCTCCAAATCCAATCCATTGACCTCAGGGGCCCATCGCGCGCCCACGAGCTCGTCGAACGCATCCTGTGCCGCCCCCGGTGCGGGCAGCATTGCCTCCATCGAGCCGTCGATGCTCGGTGTTCTGGATGTTCTGGGGCATCTCAGCCGAGCTTTCCCTGCCAACCTCGAATGCGTCGCCGTCCTGGAACAACCACTCCCCCACAGAAAGTCGGCAGGCCGCTTGGCGTCGGCGCGGCTGGCAGGGCCTGATCCCCCACAGGCCCCATCTGCTGGCATCGACCCAGCAGGAGCATGTCCATCATCAGCAGGAGGTGCAGGATTCAGGAGGGAAAAAACACAGACACAACTGACCGTCGATTCCCCCAAAACATGGGAAATATGGGCAGTGGGGGGGAAGGCAGAAACCCAGAACATATGGGAAAATATGGGGAATCTTGTTTGTGTGTATTTATTTGTGTGTCCCAGGGCCCCTTCAAGGATCACGTACCTTGGACATTTGAGCCGCCGTGGTCTTCCTGTAGATCGCCTGCATCTCGCCGAAGCACTGGTTGGAACTGGAGGACTGGCAGACCTGGAGGAGCTCAGGGTCGTCCTTGAGTTCGCAAATCTAGGGGTCGAGCTGCAAAGCGTCCCCTGTCAGGAGGGGAAAAAACACAGACTCACTGAATCGTCGATTCCCAGGAAAATAGGGAAACATATGGGCAGTGGGGGGGAAGACGAAACCCAGAATGTATGGGAAAATATAAGGGATCCTTTTATTTGTGTGTATTTATTTGTGTGTCCCAGGGCCCCTTCACTCTGGTACTTTCACGAACTCCTCAACTGCCTTGCCGCAGTTGA